GGGGGGATTGAACGCTGGGTTGTGCCTTTTTTCTGTGTGTTTTGTGGGTGACAACAGGTCACGAATCAGGTATTTCGGCATGCTAAGTACAAAGGCATGGGTTATATTAATAAGCCGAAGATGAGGCAGTATGTACACTGCTACGCGTTGCATTGCTTGGACATGTGTCAGTCAGACGCACTGAGAAAGCTCTGTAAGGAGCGCGGAGAGAATGTGGGTGCATGGTGTAATGCGTGCTACACGCCCCTGATAATGATGGCCAGGGAAAGTGGCTGGGATATTGAAGGCATATTTAACAGGCACGAGAAGCTCCGGATATGGTATGTGCCGAAGAAGTTAGTTCAAATGTGTAGTCTAGAAAGAGCGGGACGACCAGTTTAGTCGTCATGGTGTGCGTTGTGTGTGTATGTACATGAGCATGGACCTTACGACCTGCCTGTTTTTTTTTCTTTTTCTTTTTCTGTTCGGTGCCCCATCGTCTCAGTCCCGACAGCCTTTGCTGGAGGGCTTCCTTGCGAGTGCTTTCTGCACGGAAGGGTCGTTTTTGCAAAGTGCAAAGTGTCTTCCCTTACTGTACAGACCGAAACTGTCTGCAGTTTCTTCTGTCCTTTTCCCCTTTTATTTCTCCCCCTCTCCTTGTGATTCACCCCGTCATCCTCGATCGCGCTCCGCCTTTTTTCGTTGCCTCTCCTTCTCGCAGAGCTCTTGTGGACTCTTCATGTTGCGTAAGAGGTTTGTCCTCCGTGTGCGCATTATCAGATGCCGAATGTTGCAGGTTTCTCCTCGTCAATTTCCTTTCCGGCCCCTCCCTCCCGTCCCTCTTTGCCGCCTGCCTCCAGTTGTCTCTGTTTCTGTATCGATTCTTGTGCAAGGCTGCCTACATTGGCATTTGAAGTAGTGTGTGTAGGGATGGCTCTGCTAGAGCATCTATGCGTTAAGTATGGATCTCCTCTAGTGTTGCTATGTCTACCTGGAAAACATGAGAAATGTTTGCTGGGACCTGTTAGATGCGCCGCGGGCCCCTCTCCGCGAGTTTCGGAGGGCCCGAAACGCGACACTAGCCATCGATGCATTTTATCAATGGCGCGCTGGGCCCGAAAGTTGCGGTGCTACAGTGTGGTGCCGACGAGTTGCGTTTTCTGCCAGGCTGGGGCCGTGTGCTGGCAGTTTATGGGGTTGCATGCATAGGAGATAGGTCGTGTGTGGGAGAGGAGCAGGGGGGTGCAGGATTTGCAGGATGGTGATACCAGTGAATGTTTTCATAGCCTCTGGCAGAACATGGGCCTCGCTCCACTACTCTTGAAATGCACAAAAGACAAAAATCATGGTGGTGTATCTTTCCGTGTTCTAGCGGAATATTCGCTCTCGTTTTGCACCTTTTGAGAGTAGTGGAGCGAGGCCCCATGTTTGTTCATTTCTGTATAAAGTACTATAAACTTACTCACAGCTTGCACGCAAGTATCGGAGAGAGAGAATAGAATAAGGAATCGAGGATTTCGAAACGCCTTCTCGTGAGATGCAATCAAGTATGGAGGTGGCTAATCCACAAGGAGAGGCCATTTCGGGGACAACTGTCTGAATGCGGCGGCACCTTCCTAGTTCATTACTGCCCCCTTTTTCGCTGTACTCCCCGCAATCCTCGTCCGTTTGCTTACCTCGCACCGGCCTCTGTCCATCAAACCACCTGGAGTCATCGATCCCATAACCTCTCTTTGGCTCTTCTAAGCAAGTGTACATGCCTTTAGTTTGCGCAGCTGTTTGTATTATCGGTGTTGGATCGAGTCGCCTGCTGTCTCAGACTTGCCTTGCAGTTTGTTGTTGAAGCAGTGCAGCTCGTCGTCGGAGATTATCGTGGCAAGAATGCATGTTGTCCGTTCTTGCGTCCGTCCCCTTTTTTGTGTTTCTTGTTTCTCAGATTTGTGAAGAATCTGAAGCTGCTGGCTTCTATCTTTTGCGAAGGAGTGGTGCGACTACACTGCCCTTTCCTTTGCATCATTCGGGAGGCATGAAGGATGCCAAGAATGTCAAGTTGGCGGATATGCCGTAGTCGAAAACAACCTATGGGTAGTGAACCATGGGTGTAAAGCAGCTGGGAAGATGGATGGGTCGGCTGCGTTAATGGTGGTTGGTCGGCCACCAAGTTCCTTAGGCCATCATCATTGTGATGCTCCTTAGTGGTGCAGGTATACTCGGGCTTTGAACTCCAGTGTTGAAATCGAGATTTCGCTTCTTTATAGGGGTGTGAACACAGGTATTGTGTACTTTTTTACTTCAGTGGGCCAACGTCTCCATGTTTTCTTGGTGATTGGGATGTGGACTCTCTCTCTCTCTCTCTCTCTCTCTCTCTCTCTCTCTCTCTCTCTCTCTCTCTCTCTCTCTCTCTCTCT